AACCAATGTGCCCTCTAATCTTTTTGATCCATATGTGGACTTTTCACATCCACATGCAGAATACATTTTATGTGCACTGAGGCATTTGCAAAGGTGCACCACCAATAGAAACACAAAGCCTAGCTGTGGGTGCTCTGCATATCAGCTAAGCAGCTGCACAAGTGCCTAGCTTACAGGGAACATTGGACTCAGCGCTGGTATCAGGTTTCCTCACCTCTCCTGCATCACGGTTTACCAAGCTGTCCCTAAGCAAACACATCAAAAGACACTGGCTGCATCCCCAGCATCCAGCCAACTCTTGATAGTGGCACCCGGTGACCTACTCGGTAACCCAGAATATCTTATTTGCAGTAGCCCCAGCAGTTTACCACCATCATTCTCCAGCAGACCCACCCAAAACCTCTGAATCCCACTCACTAGCTAGGAAACCATCTGAAGCAATCCAGTAGCTACAAGCATTCAACAGACATCCAGCCCTACAGCTCAAGGAACTCCTCCACTGCCAGCTTACACCATCACTGTCACAAAGTGTCCCCCATCTATCCTGCTATTGCCTTCCTACATCAGCTACACGTTTCCTTTGAGTTACTCCAGTCATAGCTTATACAGCTTCATGGCATATCCCTTGAAGCAATGTGTGCTGGCTATAAATGGAAGTTTTTGTGCAAATGTATACAAATTAACTCTAAATTTGCTTAAAGCAACAGATGGAGCTGCACAAAACTTGGTGGCTAAGCATATTTCAGAACACTACACCAGTTGCAACAGATTATGTAGCATGTAAGATATGTCACCTTGGCCTAGGATCTTTGTTAGTTAAGTTTGATAAGCTGGGCTGGGTTCCTCCTATGTGATCCTCCTAAATCACAGTGTTGTAGGATAGTGATAGAAATGTAGCCGTGTTAGTCTGGGGTAGTTGAAGCAAAATGCAGGACAATGTAGCACTTTAAAGACTAACAAGATGGTTTATTAGATGATGAGCTTTCGTGGGCCAGACCCACTTCCTCAGATCAAATAGTGGAAGAAAGTAGTCACAACCATATATACCAAAGGATACAATTAAAAAAATGAACAAATATGAAAAGGACAAATCACATTGCAGAACAGAAGGGGGGCGGGGGGGAGGAGGGAAGGTAAGTGTCTGTGAATTGATGATATTAAAGGTAGGGAGAGTGGGATGTTGTAGCTGCTGGTGATTCAGTAGGTAGGTAGTCCTTTTTCCAGTTGAGCTAATACTGTATAGTGTTAAGGGTACTGTGATGCCAGAAGCAAAGTCTTATTAAAGAGACACAAAACAAAGGTTCCTTACAATTATGTCCACTAACTAACCTAAGATCCTTTTCTCCAGTAATCTGTACAAATTCAAATGTTTTTTTTTTAAAAAAAACTATTCAGTTTTCATAGCTTCCTCTTTGCTATTTCTTTCCAGTATTGTGTACACTTCTGTAAACTTGTGGGGCTCGTCTACACTGGCCCCTTTTCCGGAAGGGGCATGTTAATTTCACCTATCGTAGTAGGGAAATCCGCGGGGGATTTAAATAAAAATGTCCGCCGCTTTTTTCCGGCTTTTAAAAAAGCCGGAAAAGAGCGTCTACACTGGCCCCGATCCTCCGGAAAAAGCGCCCTTTTCCGGAGGCTCTTATTCCTACTTCAAAGTGGCCAGTGCTAGGTGCCTCCAGAGGGAATGAACAGAACAGGTAATCATCAAGTGATCCCACCCCTATTACCCATTCCCAGCTCCTGGCAAACAGTGGCTAAGGAAACCATTCCTACCCATCCTGGCTAATAGCCATTGATGGCTCTATCCTCCATGAATTTATCTAGCTCTTTATTGAACTCAGTTAAGATCCTGGCCTTCACAACATCCTCTGGCAAGGAGTTCCACAGGTTGACTGTGTGTTGTGTGAAGTAGTACTTTATTTTGTTTGTTCTGAACCTGCTACCTATTGCTTTAGCCTGTGTTAGAAATGTTATGCATAATGTGCATATATTTTATTTATATGATGTTTTGGGGATCCTGTGTTATGAAAGGGAATATTTAAGCCTAAAATACAGTATTACTCGGTCAAGCTTTGCTTTAAAATGTGTTTTTCCCCTTCTTTTCTTGTCTTTGTAGCTTACATCTTGCTGGCTGTTTTACTAGAGGAGGTCCCACTGGTGAGTGTAACTTCCTACTGATCACTCTAATGTAGATATCTTATGCCAGTGTTTGGCTTCTTAATAGTTGCTGTGGCAATGATTATGATGACCTAAAAATATGATTACAAGTCAATGCAATATGACTGGGAGATAAGTATCTGCACAAAATTAAACATCATAGGCCTACATTGTCGCCTTGTGATCCATGCATGGAGGAGCTAACTGTTCAGACTCCCCAGTAAGGTAGAGGTGATTCATGTCAGTGCTAAGTGTGTGTCTTCACTGTGCAGCAGGTGTGCTGCTGCTAGAAGGTCCATGCTGTAGGACAGAGTGAGAGGAGTAGGTGGCCTAAGGCAAAGATTGCATATAGATTCATTGAGTTCAAGGCTAGAAGGCATCAACAGATCTAGTCTGACCCCCTGTCCGCACTAAGTCCAACAACCAAATTTAGAACGAAATATTACAACCCACAGGAGACTAAGCTGCTGTTTGCAATAGCAAGATGCAGCTTGACTTTTAGCAATTCTGACTTTATTCTTACATGTTCTGACCTACTCCAGATAGCTTCCTTTGCTGATCACTGCCTTTTCCCATTCCCTATAGCAAACCTTTCTATGCCCCAAATCACTTTCTGAATATGAGCAACCCAAAATCTACCATGCCCCTTTCTGAGCCCTGCCCCTTCCCCACTAACTTCATCCACTCTCCCTTCCTCACTTTCATTAGGTTGGGGTATGGGACAGGATTCAGGACTGGCAGGAAGCTTGGGGATACAGAAGGGGGGTATGAGGTGCTTGCTCTAGGAGTGAGGTCGGGCTGGGACAGGGAGCTCAGGATCCAGGAGGAGGTATGGAGTGTGGCTATAGGAGGGGGCATGCTGTTTCCTGCCAGGCATCACTTACTACAGTTTGCAGTGCAGAAAGGCTGAGGCAGGTTCCCTGCCTGCCCTGGGTTGGTGTTGCTTCCAGAAGGGGCCAATGTGCTCCAGTGGTCCCAGAGGTGAAGGGGGCTTATGGCTTTGCACCCCTTTCTACTGGCACCACGCTTTCAGTTCCCATTGGTCACAATTCCATTACTGGCCAATGACAGATGTGGGGTGGATTTGTTTGAGCCCCAAGACTCATTCTTTCACTCCACACCCACCCATGGAGGGCCATGCTGGCCACTTCCAGGAGTGGGCCAGCGGCATGGGGCTGTAGCAGGCTGGGAGTTAGACTTACCCACTAACCCCAGGCTGCTGCTATCTCAGGTAGGGGAAGGTATTGCCTTCCCAAACGGCCAGCCTGCTCCCAGCCAGTCTACCTCCAGAACACCCATTATAGGGATACTTGCAGTGGAGACTTATAGACCCCTAGTACCCTCCTTTACTGTGCTCTGGGGCTGGGAGGCTTGAGCCACATCCCAAGAGGTAGGAAAGGGGAGGTTGGCTCTCCCAGCTCTACCTACACCTCCTGCCCAGGCAGCAACTCTGCTCCACGACTGGAGATCACAAATGCCAGAGGAAACTTACCAGGATGGACCAGTCAATCACAATCTGTAAGCACTGGCCTACAGGAGGCTTTATTCCTAATAATCTTTTTGGGATGGTTATTTACCCAAATGGGGCTGAAGCCTTTCCATACATGATTTTTCTTCTTGCTTGGAATGCAAATTGTGGATACATTTTGTACAACTCGTTGAAGGAAATTCCAACTCCTCCCTCTCCCTCCACAATTAAGTCTTTAAGTTCCTCAGTCTGTTGACTTAACTAATTCCTTACATTTCCCTGAGTCTCAAGCCATAGCTGATGACCTGGTTTTGATTATCTTTCCATTTAATTTTAACCTACTCACCTGCTGTGGATGAGACACTGACAGCAAAGCAGTGGCTGTCTTTCCCATGGAATTACTTCCAGCCCTTGCTGCTTACAAGGAAGAGTCCTTGATAAGGCAGATCCAAGGGTGCTATGCTGCCAGAGAGGCGGATGGGTGGGTTAGATTAGGAGCTGGTACTTAGACTCTGACATGTTTTTGTGCATGCCAAGGATGGTCCTGGCCTTCCACGGATTAAGAACCCATCACATTTGGAATGGCTATTAATTCACAGGAGGAGTAAGTACGGCCTAGGCCGCCTGACTGCTGCCCCCCAGCAAAATTAGGCCGGAGTCCTATACACACTAAAACTAACGTGATTGTCAAAGCGCGGTTAAATAACAACCAGGCCTTTGTGGGTAGAGGACTTTAGGGGGAAGGGGGTGGGGAAGTGTCTCTTTGCCACTCGCGGGAGCCAGCAATGGCAGGTTCAGTGGCTAAGGGCTCGACCTAGGGGGTGCTACGAGCACAGCGGACAAGCGTCCAGTGCTGCGGCTGCTCTAACACCTGCCCCGCAGCCGCGCTGAATCAACTACCGCTGCGCCTGGTCGCAGACACCGCATGCAGGGGCAGGGCCGCTCTCTGGTTTCCCCACCGGTCCCTGGGGAGCGGGCGCCCAGCTTGAGTTGAGGAGCCAGCAGCAGGGGGCCCAGCGCCGGGCGCGGGAGAAGTTGGCTGCTGCGGTAGGAAAGGGGCTGCCCGATCTCTAGCGCTACTTGTTTTGAAGCCAAGTCCCCAGATTCTTACGCGGGAGGGGGTGTCACTCTGCAAAGCCTAGAACCGTGTTTTACAGCCAGGGAGAGGGGCGCCCCGAGCACCGCGCGCTAGCGCCGGGGAGCCGCCTACCAGCAGCCGCACGGAGCGTGCAGAGCGACACGGCTCTGGAGGGCAGCGAGCTTCCCCCCTCCCCCCCCCGGCCCGGACAATTCCCCGTCCCCCGCCCCTGCGCATGGCAGGCGGTGACACAGATGCTCTGTGCTGGTAGCGGGCAGGGCGGGAAGGTGTGCCGGGGCGGGGAGGAGCTGGCGGGGAAGCCCTCCCCCGGCTCGGGATGTTGCGACCAGTGGAGACCGCGGAGCGCTAGGCGCACAGCTGGCAGCAGGGGCGGGGGGCAGCCACCGCCGGGAGCCCCGCTGCACCTGGCCGCTGCGCGCCCTCAGCCCCGCATCGCGGCCATGAGGCGGGCGCTGCTGCTCCTGTCCGCCGCCGCCTTGCTCTGCTCAGGTACGTGGGGGCGAGCCCGGGCGCTGCTGCACCTGCCCGGCGGGCTGGGTGCGCGCAGAGCTCGCGGGCGCTGCCCGGGTCTGCTGCAGGCTCAGCCCGGGCCTCGCGCGCCCCCGGGGCAGGGCTCGCCTCGCGCTGCTGGTTCCGCTGTCTGTGCAAAGCCTCGCGCCGACAGCCTCTGTGTGGCGGGCGTGTAAGGAGCATTTCGTTATCAGCTTGCGTGCAGCAGAGATAGGGCCGTTCGGATGTATACGGAATAGCCAGCCCAGAGCGATTAGCCTGCCGTGTTGGGCCCACAACTGGGTAGTACCAGGGAAGTTTGTGCCCTTAAGAACAATTGCCTGCTGCATGCAGCAAGGGTTTGCACATGCCAGCCCGCCTGGTTTGCAAAAGGTGGTTTGAAGCGAAGTGTGCGCGTGTGTGTGTTTGGCTGGCTGCCTGCCGCAAAATTTCAGACTTACACTGAAAAATGTGGACATCACAGGCTTGTGATCCATGGGTGTGTGCCCAAGTTGGGATACTTCAGAGCTGAAGTTGCAGGCTGGCTTAGGTGTGAATGTATGTATATTGCATTGCACCATGTTTCCAAAGCAACTTGGGAATTTGGGGTGACTAGAAGTGAATATCATGTATTTATTAAAAAATGATCTCTCCCCCAGATATTTTCTTGCTTTTAAGAGAGTGAGGGTATGTGTCTCATGAGCAACATTAATTGGGGTTTTTTAATCAAGTTTTTGTCTTTATGGGAATTAATTATAAAAAGTGAAAACTACAAGATCACTCCTGCTGCTATTATGAAAGGCATGGGTGTTTTTGTGGATGCTGTTCTCTGTGAGTATATATGAGAAAATGTGTGTAAAATAAACATACAGGAGCAGATAGATCTTCAGTTGGTGGAGTGGAGTCACCTGAGTTTACGCAGTTGGGAAAAGGTGCACAATAATTGTCCAAAATAGCTTTTTCTTCAGAATAGGTATTTATTAGCTTTCTGTGTGAGAGGCAGGACAAGCCAGTCTTGAGAGAGAGTGAAATAAGAGCTCTTGAGAATAGTCAAATAAGACACACGTATCAAAATACCTAAAGAAAAAATCTGTTTATTATGAAAGAGTGCTTCAACATAGCTAATCACATGACAATCTTTCTGTGCCACAGGACTGCAGTCAGAGGGCATATCTACACAGCAGTGTTATATTGGAATAACTAACATTATCCAAAATAACATAGTGTGCATCTACACTACAAGCTGTTATTTCAAAATAATGTCGAGTTGGAGGACTTCTTACTCCAACTCATTGTAACCCTCATTTCACGTAAGGAAAGTTGAAGGAAGAGTCTTCTCCCTTTGACTTCCTGCTGTGTAAACAGCGCCAAAAGCCGAATTAAGCTATTCGACTTCAGCTGCGCAGTTGATGTAGCTGAAGTTTCGTTGCTTAATTCAACATTAGCCTTGCTGTGTAGATGTGCCTATAGGGAGCCACAAACATAATGAATCTTGAGGTTGAATTTTCTCACTCTTTTTCTGTACTGCAGAGTGTTATCAATAAGCTGAATGATAATAATTTTAAAATACCGAACAAGGAGAAAATATGTAGTTTGAACTAGGGGTGTTAAAATGCAAGTAATTGTGTAACTAATCGCTGAAAAGAATTGAGCCTGTATGGAAACAGAAATGAGCCATAGCACTGTGGGCACCTTTGTATACATATATCTGCATTCATGCTAGAGGTTGTACTGTTACAACTACATTGAATTAAAAAAAATTACAGCCGTGACTGAAATAATTATACGTGCACTAAGACTTAGGTGGCAGTTGGCTCCCTGGGAGCCGGTGTATGTGTGAAGCCAGCTTTTAAGCCAGCTCTCCACGCATAACCGGGAGCCTGCATGTAACCGGAAGTTACACTACCACATATATTTATGCATAATACAAGTTAGAAATTACTAACTGTGCAAGGTAATTAACAATAAGAATGAAAGTGTTTTTCATACATTGTACATACATATACTGATCTGTTCAAACTAGGGATGTGAAAGTGGGTGTGTAGGTGTGTGTATAATGTGTATGTCTTTCGGGGTCTACGTCTACACTGGCATGATTTTCCGGAAATGCTTTTAACAGAATGCAAAAAAGTGTCCGTGGCCAATCTAGACGCGCTTTTTCGCAAAAAAGCCGCGATCGCCATTTTTGCGATAGGGGCTTTTTTGCGGAAAAGAAATCTCTGCTGTCTACACTGGCCCTTTTGCGCAAAAGTCTTTCGGAAAAAGACTTTTGCCCGAACGGGAGCAGCATAGTATTTCCACAAAAGCACTGACAATCTTACATGAGATCGTCAGTGCTTTTGCGGAAATTCAAGCGGCCAGTGTAGACAGCTGGCAAGTTTTTCCGCAAAAGCAAATGATTTTGCGGAAAAACTTGCCAGTCCAGACACAGCCTGGGTGTATATAGATATAGATAGTATATGCACAAATATAGTTTATACAGGTTGAACCTATTTAATTTGGCACACTCTGGTCCAGCAAAATCCATGGTCCGGCATAATTTTAGTTAGCTAGATGTCTGCTTATCATGGATGTGTTTACAGCCACCAGACCTGGCGGGCTCCCAGTGTTCTGTGCTGTTATTTAGCTCTAATTTTCCTCAAATGTTTAAGAACCCAGTAAGCAGTGGAAGTGTTAGTAATGCTGATAGGCAATATTGGTTCAAGAAATTTTCTGCTTTGGCACTAGTCAGGTCCCAAGAGTGCCTGGCTAGAAAGGTTTACCTTACATATTCTTGTTTAATATTTTTTCCTGTCCTCTTCTTTATGTATTTAAAGAAAGGGAAAGAAACCAAAGAACTAAGTACTGAGCTATTCACACAAAGCAATGTACTATTAAAATGAATTACTACCTTGAGAGCCTTAAAAGTGGTTAGTATGGAGACAATCTTAATAATCGTAGCTATGCTAAGTCTGGGACTATAAAGAGTTGAGTTTGTATGGAAAGAGAAATAAGAGATAGCACTGTGGGTTGTACTGTTACAACTACATAGCTTTTAAAAAAATCACAGCCCTGACTGAAATAATTATACAAGTGCAAAAACTCTGTGTGCGCTAAGACTTAGGCTATGTCTGCACTAGCACTTTTTGAGTAAAACTTTTGTCAGTCGGGGCATGAAACCCTCCTCACCCCAAGTGACCTAAGCTTTGCTGACAGAAGTGTCGGCATGGACAGCACTGAGTTGTTGAGAGAGAATCTTCCGATGACAGCTATTGCTGCTTATTGGGGATGATTTTCTTTTGCTGATGGGTGAGGTCTCTAGAGCAGCTACCAGAGATCTTACAATGTTGCAGTGGTACAGCTGTGCCACGACAGGATTTGTAGTACAGAAGTAGCCTTAATACTACAGAGTAAGACGTAGATCTGCCATGGAATAAAAAGCTGTTTTAAATGGTCGGATAAAGGATGTTCAGTTTTGTGTGATTTTTGTGCAAAAGTTGGCAACACTGTGTAATACCCTGAGGACCAATTTAGAACTAGTTAGGACAGCTCTAGACCTTCTTTAACAAGACACTTCAACACTTGAGTTTGCCGGAAGGAACAACACCATCTACCCAAGCAACTACTGGGAAAAGTACAGGAATAAATTCTCATAGCCGTATCCCTAGAGCCTAGACCAGGGATATTCTATCTGCTACCCAAAATCTGTAATTCTGGGAATCAGGATGACCCATCATCTCAGGCAGTGGCTCTCCTACAGCAATACTGCTGGCTATATTGACTCCCTCCTCTGGCCTTATGTTACTAATGCTCCCAGCTATCTTCAAAACACCACAGACTTCCTGAAAAAACTACAATCCATTGGTAATCATCCTGAAAAAAATTCCTAGTCACTATGGATGTAGAAGCTCTCTACACCAGTGGTTCCCAGCCTGTGGTCTATGAGAGCACTGCAGGAGGTCTGCATAAAGTTTTAGAAAGGGTTCTCCCCATCCCTCCCAGAGCACATGGTAGGAGGCGGGGCAGCAGCCATGTGTGCCAGGTTGCGGCTTGCTTTTTATCCCATTCTCCGGATGTTAATGGGGCGATGGGAAAGTGCTTGCATGCTGTGCATGCCTCTCATGCCTGGCTGGTGTGTGAGAGGCGTACACAGGATGCAAGCACTTTCCCCTTGCTCCCTTAGAATCCAGGGAACGGGATCAAAGCAAGCCATGACTCAGTGCGCACGGCTGCTTCCTCTCCACTCCTCTCACGCTCCCAAAGTTCTATTCTTGCCCCCAACCCTCCTGATGTTCCACCTTTGAGGAGCTAGCAGATCCAGAGCTCCCTTTGGCCACAAGAGCCCCCTCACTTTGTGGATGGGCAGGGGACTGAGGGGACAGGAGCTGAGGAAGCAGTGCAGGTGAACAGCAGCCAATAGGAGCTGAGAAGCTCTCTGCCGTGCAGTCTGCACGTCCCTCAGCCCATGTTGAAGCTGACAAATGGCGACTGTAATTTGGTGTCGGCTTGTAAACAGGTCAGTCACTTTTTACCATTTTTTTCTTTCTTTTGAATACGTCACCCTGCTCTAACCATTCAAAAGCTTAGAACGGTGGTGGGAGGGGTTTAGTTGGGCCACTAGCAAATATGGATCGGTGGAGCCAATAAAAATATATGGCACCTCAAAGTTATTACATTTCAATGTGGACATGCTGTATTATCTCTCAATACTACTATATTTGTTTAGATAACATTAACTTTATACATTTCAAATGATTATCAAGTAATGGAATGTTTGAAAACAGCTATATTGTTTGGGGGTTCTTAAAACTTTAATAGATTGAAAAGGGGTCTGTACATTTGGAAAGTCAAGCCCTAAGATACCCAAACCCTCAACACAGAGACAAATACCTACAGGATCTCTATTAAGCATTCTTAAAACTACAATACTCACCTGGAGAAGTGGGAAAAAATAGATTGATAAAACCAGGCGGATACCTAGAAGTCAAGTATTACAGGACAGACCTAACAAAGAAAGTAAC